TCAACAAAACATCACTTTTAGCCCACTTCAATATTTCTCCATGAAATAGCCGAATGACCTTGAAAATGAGGGTCAAGGTCAAATTTGACATTTGATTTGGGGGTGTTGGGTATATGTTTGGGGTAGTTTACTATACCATGTTATCACAAAAAATCAATATTTCATGGAGAAATTGACAAAGTCACTATTTCTGTGAAATTATTAATATTTAAAAATCTATATTAAAAAATCTAATCAGTCAGTTGTCAATATTATTAGCAACTGTACTGGATAGATATCTAGGGCAACTTTTTACATCATCCTTGTGGCTCTGTGACATCTGGTTTACCCCCTGCTGAATGCCAACCACTTAGAGCATATCGTGCAATAAGTTGACCTTGACCTGACCTACTTTTCCTAAATATAGGTCACATGATATAAAATTATTGTGTGACCTCACCTTTGAAAGGATTTGTCAAAATGTTGAAAATTCTAGGAGATATTGCATTTTGAAATTTGCAAAAAGTTCATTTTAAAAGGCTCTGTGACCTTGAAAATGAGGTCAAGGTCAATGAAATTGGGTGGACCGGAATAACTTTTCACAGGCTATCAGTATGAATTTTTTCAGAATTTTAGAAAGAATTTTTTTAATGAAAAATAAGAAGAAGAAGAAGAAGAAGAAGAAGAACAGCAAAAACAATAGTATTCCCCTATGGGGAATCCTAATAACTAATTCTAAAGAAAAAGTATCATTTTAGTCTGACAGGTGTGGACATCCAGAGTCAAGAGGCATATAACATGGCCGTGTCAGGAATGGTGAGACCCCTGTATGAAAAAGGAAAACCCATCATATACAATGTGAAGTGTATTGACTTCAAGCCACCTCATTTCACAGTGGGTAAGGATAGACTGTTGGCAGATGAACGTGTTTGTATGATTTGAACTGCCATAGTAGAGTATAAAAAATCAGTTTACTCTTGTTCATTTTTAACAAATGTGATTAATATTCTAATGTATATATTAGACTAATTGTCATTTTTAAAAGAATTGTCCTAGTTTGTTTTTTTTTTTTTTTAATTTAGTTTACCAGCTTATATTCTGTCTTGGTTGATTCTTATAATGCTTCTGTAGCAAATGTCTGATTAAAACAATCAAAGATCATCAAGGATTATTAAAATTCTAGAAGTGCACTCTGTCAACGAGGACATGATGTATTTAGCCAAGCTGATCCACGACATCGGAATGTCTGCCAAAACAACAGCAACTTGTACGGGAATACGGCGCGTGCGCTATGGCAACTTCACATTAGACCATGCTCTTTTAATCAAAAACTTTGATATTGAAAACATCTTGGAGAATATATCTCTTTGCAAGCCTCTCATGAGTTGGAAGAAATTACAGCCCCAGAGGAAAATAGGTCGATTGCAAGGTTCTCCCCGGTTGAAAATAACAGACTCCACTCAACAGTTGTTGGGGGATGGCCAAAAGGAACAAATGGAGGCAAAACATTCAGAAAAGCCAGAGGAACTAAAACATTTCACAGACTCCAGTGAACTTAGTGAGTCAGTGACAGATGCAGATTTGTCAGAAACAGATGTGGCAGAAGAATCGGAGAAACCCTTGATCCATGATCATGAAATTTCTGAACAAAATGAAAATAAAACGGAATACATAGAAAGTAAGCAGACAGACACAGTGGAGAATAATGAAAAGGCACATTTCAGTCCCACTCAAAATGTCAATCAGTTTTGTGGCCCTGAGGATTATGCTGAGGTGAACCAGGAACCTTTAAACAGACATAGTAAAGACAAAAGTAATCGTGATCAGAGGTTAGAGAACAGTCAGCATAAAAGAAAGTTTTTTAGAAACAATGCTCCAAGGTCATATCAAGGTGAGGATTATGGTGGAATGATAGGACCTAGACTGCCGTCATCATTAGTCATAGCAAAGCGCTTAAAAAAGAAAAAGATTTGTGCTTAGTGCAAATCTTGTTATTTGAGAGATATTCATTGACAGATCCAGGATTCTGCATAGAATACATGTACACAAATGACGACACTCTCCTATAATAATAATATACACTCGCCAAAAAAATTCAGAAACATGACATTGTTTTTCAGTAATTAAAAATCTATGTAGAAGACTTTTTTTTTCTGAGGCATCTGCATTTTTAATTCAATTCTAAGGTTTCATGGACAGAAATGAGGACTTGTATATTTTATGCATACATTTATGTAATGAAATGAGGATTTGCATACATTATGAAATGCTGACCACTTTATTTCATAACATGAAGAAATATTTCATAACATGAAGAAATACCACCATTTCTGGCTCATTGTAGTAATAAAAATTTCTGTATATCAAAGCAAGAGGTGTGTGTATCCAGTGTCAGTGCTAAAGTGATAACCTTATTCACGGATGTTTTGTGAATAAAGTCTTCTTCATACAAAGTCATTTACTTAAGTAAATGGAAGCTTCCATTTAAAGGGAGCACTTTTCAAATAAAGATTCTTACTCAGTTATATAACATATAACACATATTATGTGTTTGTTTTGTTAATGTTGTGCTACTCGAAAAGAAGTTTTCCTGTTTTTAAAAATTTTAAGCATTGGGTTTATAAAAGTATGCAAAATTAAAATAAAAACTTTGTAATAACATTTTTAATTAATCAAAATTCTAATGTTTGAATCTATAATTAAAGAAATCATTAAATGACAATATAAACTGGGCACCTCAAACTCTTGACCGAACTTAAACAGACAAATTTCTAAAGGAGATAACTTTGTAAACTTTAACAGCCATTAAAGGTACATACGAACCGAGCATCGGTGGAGTGTGGATTTCCAGTAACACATGTAAACCACTTTTACTAGATTCTTATATGACTTTAATAAAAATCGACATGCCAAGGGATAAACTGAATAGATCACTCGATCAGCCATAAAAGACCTTTAGACTGCTCCTTTCTTTAAATTTTTGGTTGTAAATTTAACCTACTTTCATGACCTACTTTCCTGCCCCATTGACATACAGCTCAGAATCCCAGCAGAAAAATCCGTTCAAACATCATTTTCGGGTAAAATTAAACAATGCCTTTCAGTAATTCTCTTAGTTACACTACTTGAAACTATATGCTGGCATTTGGTTGGTTTTTGTGACAAAAAATTGACTTTGTATGCATCTTTAAGGTAAGTTGAATTTTGTATTAGTTGAAACATAATTGTAACATGCTCTGTTATTTGTCAAATTATCAGAAATGTCCCTCCATGTCAAATGAAGATCAATTTGATAAAAATATTCCACCTAAATGTTAGAAAAAAGCACCTATCCATTCGCTACTAGACAATTCCTTCTGTATATTTTTATTTCTTTTCAAACTTGGCCAAGTGCTTGTTTTTCTGCAAAGTTTTCATTCCAATCTTGGAAGGCATTTCCTCAGTTTTAAATCCCATTTTCTTCACACGGCAAATCTCCTCCTCAGTAAGCTCTAACAAGGGGTCAATATAGATATCCACCATCCTGGCCTTGCCGTCCAAACCCGGGACGTCACTGCCTTGCGGAGGGAACTGTGTACACCTTCTCCGCACACAATAGCGGTACACTCGCTGTATGGGTTTCCTATCTTCTTTCGCATTTTTTTTAGGAATCCAAAGACTTTTCAAGGCGATATGTAAATCCCCTTTCCTTATTGTTGCCCTACAGCTGGGACACCTGGCTATAACTGGGTGCTCCTTTCTGGTCAGAATCCACATCAGGTGTGGAAGCCATTTCTCTACTCTGGATTTGCTACCACGTCTCTTTTCTTTGTCATTTGCTTCTGTTTCATCCAATTCACTTGCTTCTGTTTTATCCAAGTCACTTACTTCTGTCATTCCTATTTGACTTCTTTTTAAATCAGAAAATTCTACCTTGCCTCCATTCTCTGAAGTACAGTCAAGAGCAGAAATTCCATCAAATGACTCTGGAACTGTATCATGTATTTCAATCCTTGTAGACACTGGGTCTTCTGAGGGAGAAGTCATTATCTTCTTCAATTCCCCAGTGTCTTCCTTTCTAATATCATGTGATGAGGAAGTCTCCATAACAACAGCTCCCAACACCTCAGCTTCCCCATTTGAGTTGCCACATTTGCTTTGTTCTGATGACTCAGCCAAAGAGCTTTCACTGTTAACCGTGCTGTTCTCATCTGTCAAAATGTTTTTATCCTTCTCCAATCCATCCACAAAACTGATCAAATCTCTTAAATCTTTAATAACAAATAAAGGCTGAACTGCTTGGCTGATATGTGTGTCATTTTGATTGGAAATTAAGCAGGCATTCCAGCCTAATTTACGAGCAGCTTGATAGTCTTTTTCATAACTGTCTCCAACATGCAGAGCATGACTTGGTGACAGACATGTGTCACCTGCTAACTTCAAGGCAAGCTGAAATGGCTGAGGATGTGGCTTACTCCCACCTGCTTCCACTGATGTGACTACAAAGTCAAAGTACTGATCCAAGCTAAGGGCTGCCAGCACTGCCTGAAGCCTGCTGTCAAAGTTTGAAATTACGCCCAGCTGATAGTTTTTCTCTTTCAGCGTTGTTAGAACTTCTACAGTGTTTGGGAGGACCTCCCAGCTTTCTGCTGTAAGAAAATGACGGTACAATTTATCTGCAATGTCCACCAAAACAGGATCTGTGTCAAAAATCCCTGCCACATGGAAGGAGTTGTGTACCACGTTACTCCACCACTGGTAGTCTGATAAACCTTGCTGTTTTCCAAAGTTGGGATGCTGAATACTTTCGTTTTTGTAGGCTCCCAAGAAGGCAGTGTCGAGGGTGTTGACATCAACATCTATCCCACAGGCTTTGGCGATGTTTGCATACTGTAACCCTGGGCTTCCTCTCACTTTGATCATGGTTTTGTTCACATCAAATGTGATGAGTCGAATCAGGCGATTCATCTGTAATTTATAAACAAATGTTGCTACATGTAAGTTTAGTAGAAACATACACATTTACATCTACTACTGCATGTGCAATGTACCTAGGGCAATTTCTAACCAAATAGACGTGGGATATTTTTTTTTTACATTTGTTACGTTTTATTTCCCCCTAACATTCACTGTTTACGACGTCTTTTGTCAACTGAAGGTAGCGACTCGGTTACCGTTGGCATGTAATGTCGCAAACTAATGCAAATCTGCAAATTACGGCACATTTTATTTCAATGACATTCACCGTTCTGTCTGCAGTAAACTTCCAAAGACGATTGCCACCAACTCACGAACGACGCTAGTGGATGGGCGAACAGAATTATACAGCAAGATGCATTAAAAAACTTCCTAAAAGATCATGAGCCGTAGAGGAGGACTTCCGAATAATTCTACTCAGTTGCAGCCGCCACTTGTTTCAGCGCTGCCATTTTTAATGAAATTATGTTAACCTGATGTTGATTCGTTGAATTGTTTCTGCACACCCCAATCAAAATTACTGACACAAAACAGGAAATAAACTAACTAATCCATACCGAGGCTTGCTTGTTTGTACTTTCGGTTTATGCCACTGCCAAACAAGTCGAGTGTTTCGTTGTTCATGGTAATATAAGGCTTGGGTTTAAGTTAACAGAGCATTTAAACTGAGCGTTTAACCATCACGTCTAGTACCGAAGAATGGGCTTATCAGTTGACCTTGTCAACTTTGTTAAAGCCTCACAGTTTCATAGTTTCACTGTAACGTATGCATCCGCCTGTGTGGATGAAAATTAAATGATGACGTAATTTTAAATGAAGATGCTTTTAACCAATATTTCCATGTGTAAGACTACTTACTTACTAAAGACAATTGTTTAACCCGATTTACTTTTACTACTACTGTTAAATGTCAAAGCCGTAAACGTAAAGTTCGTCTGCTAAATTATGCATAAAACACGTGGAAATGTCATTTAGTGAATAATAAATGATTTTAAAGTTTTACATTTCTCTACATGAGACAGAAGTAAATTATATTGTGAAACAACAAGCCTTAAAAAACTCGACGGACAGATGTGTGTAAAATTTTAGATTAAAAAAAAATTGATTGGGGATTTGATATTTAGTATATGTTGGTGTAGGGGGTGTCTCAATAGTCTGAAGGTTCATTGGTCCGAAAAATAGTAAAATTTTCGCCAGTTTTTTTATCAAGGGTTCATTGGTCCAAAGTTCTGTAATGAACATTCGAGCCAATGAACCTTTGGACTGTTGAACCTTTGGACTATTGCTATGTGCCGGTAAAGGCCGATATATAATTTACTTAACTTAATCTCAGAACTTTAAGAAACGGATATGCTTTCATCCAAAAATTCACAAAGATGCAGGATCTACAGTATCTACTTATTAAACATTTCAGGTACTACTTGTAGGTGGTGCTTGTCTATGTGTGCCTGTGTTTCTGTCTGTAACGAGAAGAGTTCTTAGCACCATGACTACTGCAAGCAGCAATTATGTTAAGGGGCAACACTCTATTGCTTATGTCACAGCGCCAAGTGAAGATGTTGCCAAAACTCTGGCCAGGTAAAATATTATTTATGATTGCTTACGTAATTAAGGTATTCCTAGGTTTGTTACCTTGGGGTCTTTTTCATCTTTTAGCTAGCTATCTGTAAACCAACATAAATTGGCTCTCTGATCATGTACTTCTTGTTTGTTTCAGAGGAATGGTGACTTCCAAACTGGCAGCCTGTGTCAATATTGTTCCCAGAGTCATTTCCGTGTAAGTCTTTATGTTAGTATGTTCTGTTACCAGCATGCCTGCACCATTTCTTGGGCCAAATTCATCTTAAGTAGCCTAAAACCACTCTGTCAGCACTGTGTGACTTCATAAGAGACTAGATAACTTGTCTCCAGATCTCCCTAGGTCTTGCTTGATTTCATGCGATGTCTTGAGAGTTTGAGCTATCTCTGAAGATTCTAACAATTCCTGTAGCTGGGAACTGAAAAAATGAAACATGTACATATTGAGTATAGAGGAGAGCCTTGGTAGGAAATCACAAATATAGGGTGCCTGAGTGGCCTATTAATTACAGCAGATAGTTATGACAGTAGATTTATATAATTTATTTAGACATATTTCAGAAACAATAAAAGTAAATGTAGTATTTGTATCAAGGTCTGTCATTTTTTTTCTTTGTTGATTCACTATTTTGCTTCATCCTCTGAGGCATTAAAATAGTTCAAGCAATTATAATGTAATTTGTTGCAGACTTCGTGAAAAATTGCTCTCATTTATATTCTTTTTCAAGAAGTCAGTTGCACTGAATCTTGTCTTTATGCTTCATTTTCAAAATCATTCCAGCTTTGAATGGGAAAACAAGATAGATGAAGAAGATGAAGTCTTGATGGTACGAACATTCAAGAATGATATTAACACTTGAGTGCTTAGATTTGTACCTCTAATGGATGTGACATGTAGAGAATGAGTTTGTTTTAGGGGTGGTATCACTGTCTGTGTGTTTTTTTTTTTATTATTCTGTGCTTCACAGATTGTGTTTTAGGAAAAGGAGTTTACTACAGTGTTATGTCATTATTAAGAGAGTAAATTTTCAACTAAATCCTGGAAAGATATAGCAAAGAAAAAATTGCTGTTGTAATATTTTTATGTCCAAAAAATAGTTTAAGCAATTGTTTCTATTTCAGATGATCAAAACCAGGACTTCTTTAGTGGATGAACTGTCAGAGTATGTGAAGAAGAACCATCCGTATGATGTAGCAGAGGTCATTTCAACCCCTGTAAGTTTATTCAATCTGCAGCATAGCTGGGGTACACAAGGATGTGAACAAACGCATGCACGCACACACACACACACAGAAAGCTTGTACTGTAAAATATCTGAGACTGTATACCTTAACTAAGGGCCCATTCCCAAGGGCACTATTGTTCTTAGTAGATTGATCCAACTCTGTGGGACTCTTGCTGAATGCAATGTCAGATGAACTGAATGGAAAGCCTTCTCTTGTTTCTGATGTACTAGTTTAATCACCAGGGCTCCGTATGTTGAAAGGTTCACTATGTTGCGCACGTGCGCAAGTGTCTCGATTCCATGGCCCCGTATCTCGAAATAGAATCGGTTATGGAATCGAGACACTTGCGCACATGCGCAACATAGCGAACCTTTCGAGATACGGAGCCCAGGTTTTCTGTATTGTACTCAACACCAGAAGGAGGTGTCTTAATCTTCATTCTGATTGCATTCAGCAAGAGTCCCCATGGAATTGGATTGATCTTCATTGAACAATAGTTTCATTGGGAATGGGCTCTAAGAGAAAAAATATCAGATGCTGTCAAATATTTTAAAGATTTAATCAATTTTTTAATAACTGCTGAATGGAACTGTAGTAAAGATGTTTTAGTTTGGCTTCAAAGCTTTTGTTTTTAAACAATTATAAAAAATTAATAAATTCGGTACCAAAATTGAAAAATAGATTTCAGATTTGATACAAAGACTATTCTCTCCCCCCCCCCTCCCCCCAGGTCCTCTGAACTAATAATCCTAACTATGACATAGTATTTACCTGGAAAAATACAATCCTTTTTAAACAGGTGTTCAGTCCAGTAAGTGTAAGATGTACATTGTAACACACTTGTAAGCATTATGCAGAAAGAAATGTCTCCAGTTTGGGAGTAATGGCATCACTGCTTGATTCTCCATACCAACAACAGGAGTGGACTAAATAAGATCATAATTTATTCAGACAGATTTATATGTATACAACTTGCCCCAGGTTATTTTACTCTTGGACATTTTTTTTCAGATTGAAAATGGAAATCCACCATACCTAGATTGGATTGGCCAGGTGGTGCCAGAAAAATAAGAAGCAGAATTGATTTCAATGCTCCACTTTGGCCTCGGGAGCTGCATAACAATAACACAGCACAACTGGACATGGATAGACATATATATTGCAAACACATAGTTAAAACTGTGTGGCAGTAACTCCTAATTGGACTTGGCTTGAAGAAACAATCAGTTAAAAGTTTTCATTTATCATAGATCTACATACATGTATTTATTTGCTTTACCCGTTGACTGCTTCTCTGTTCACTCTGACAAAATTTAAAGGGCAAATCATAATCCAAATTGTGATAGAAACATAGAGAAAATAATAAATGCAGTGAGGAAGAAAAACAGAGGAGTGTCCTTTGAACCACTTGCAAAAGTCATAAATTTTCTAGTACACCCAAAAGACAAGATAGAGGACAGCAAGGAATGTAAAATAGTGGAGAAGATCAGCTGTGGGAGCTGTGACAGAGTATGGTAATAACAACATCTCAATGGGGGAAAATTGTGAATTTTACCGATACTGTATTTTTATGTCATAATTTCTTAATATTAGAACATTCCTATATTGAGTAGAAACAACAGGGTGTCTTATAATTCTTTTCTATGCATGCAGTATAAGTACCACAAAAATGCTTTATAGAAATGTAATTTTGTGATTATAAAATTTTGTAACAGAAAGTTTGATCATTTTTGTCCTTTGAAAAGATTGAGTCATCACTGTGTATTTTGGAGAGACAGGTCCAAGAAAACACTTACTGTTCTCAATCTGTCCTACAACATGATGTTTTTCTCTTTTAATGAAAAATGTTCTTAATCTGTTCTGGGAAATTCTGAAGGACTTCCCAAAAGCAGTTCTCGAACTGTTACATTGATTACAGTACAATATTAGAACTGTACAAAAATGACACCAAATGTTCTAGAATAGATTGAGAAACGTAAGTTAACGTTAAATGACACAGATTTTGGCAGGGGAAGTGAGTGGGGCTGGTGCTTCCTGGGCATCAATAGCTGAGAAGACAAATACTGCTTGTCACACTGTCACCTTAGTATTATTAATGTCACCTGGATCTCTTTCCAAAGATTTGGTTCTTGTGATTTAATGTCAACACTTCTACATCTTGTTAAATATTTTGCTTAATTGTTCAAAGCCTAATGTATTTTAAATCCACTTAGAAAACTGAAGGGATTTGTACTTTCAAATGATTTTTTTCATAAAAAATTTCTACATGCATTATGTGACTTTTTAAAGACTTTACTAACATTACTAAAGCTTGGCTTTTATATATACATGTTTGACAGCTTTACTGCTTTGTTTCCTGTATGGTGCCTGTTTTTGGCCAGCTTTGCTGTTTAGTCTAGTTTAATTATTTTATTTATTGATTTTATGTGAGTACTGTCTAAACAAAATGTGTTTTTTTAAGTTTTATCTGCAGTTTTGCATAATGTGCTGTTATTGAAACATTGAAAAGTAATCCATTAAAGGCCCATTCCTCAGGATTTTCCTGCCCAAATGAATTGTTAGAGGTTCTTTCCATGTGTTTGAAAACCCCCACAGCCATATGTATATCTTGTAAGCTTTTTATGTTTCCTCAATTCAGGCTCTAAAAGACAATAGAGACCCCTTAAATAAGGGTCATTGTGTCATTATTATCTTCTCTGCCTCCTTGAGTAGCCATTGCTAACTTGCAACATCTCTATTAAACACGGCGCAAGGACGCTATTCAAAACTACTCCTCATTTTCTTGTGTGAAAACAAGGCAATGCTTGTGACCACAAACATCATTTATTATGACTGCTTAGTCATTTTAATCAAAGTCTTCAATTAATGAAATAAAACATTGAATCCAAATGCTGGGACAGGCCTTGCTCTTTACCTCAGAAAAATTTATTTTGGTAAGAAAGTCCAATTGAGTAGCCCTTTATATCTGTTGACAATATGAGAACATAAAAAAAGTACCAAATGCAATGCCGTCAATGTTTTATTTTCATCTGTATGAAACAAAATTCATACACTAAATTCAATGCTTCTGTAAATAAATCTTTCTTCCATCTGTGATTCTAGATAATATAATAATACAGCTCTAGTTTCCTTTTTGAACAATTACTTCATGATATTGATTTCAGGAAAGTTTATACAGTGGTCCCTGTAAGAAATGAAAAAGTAAATGAGCAGTATGATTTCATTTTGGTTCATTCATTGTACACCATTAAATATCTTAATGTATACTTCTTAAACAAAAAAAAAAAAAAAAAAAAATCTTTAAAATAATGATAAAACAGTGGTCGTTAATTATTGGTTATTGAGTACCTTACATTGAACACAAAGACTACTAGTACCTGCAAATATTGCACTGCATATATTAAATAATCCAGGCTGAATATATACTTAATTGCAGGATCAAACCTTCATGCTTTATAAAACACAACAGCATTTTAATCAAAATGTTAATTTCATACCAGCGATCATTTGTCACAATACATGTTTTACCTAAAATTGAATATTTAAATTGATAAAATATGAAGTTGACTAAGCTTTGATTATAATTATTTAAAATCACATATTTCTGACCCATTCAATTATCTGAAGAATTTGTGGAACTCACTCTTGCAAGTAAATCCGTCCCCTTCATAACCTTGATTGCAAACACATTTGAGGCCCATGGGTTCAAAGCAATGATCAGTAGGCAATATTTGAGACGTGTTTGAATCAATACACATGGCATTTGTATCACACTTCTCTGGAAATAAATTCAAAAAAGAAAAATAGTAAATTGACATCATTCAGCTATCAATCAGCATCATCGTATATCTTGCTTACACAACACAATGTCACCATTTTTATTAAAGAGGAAGTCATCTGATCCTGGTTATAAAACAAGTTTGCTTATGTGTACCTTTAAGGGTATGGTCACCCTTAATTATCATCCAGATACCGAAAAAAGTGTTGTTTCTTGCATCTTATTGTTCAATAATGCATATATCTTTGTGCTGGTTTAAAACAATAAAAATCCCCTTGGAAATATCAAATATCAGTGTTAATATTTATTGCTGCTATGTATAAGCATAGGTAATTCTAATGTAATCATCAGTTTAACACCGTTCTATTTTGAGCTGAGATAGGAATCGGTGTGAGGCCTAACTTCATCCCTGAAGATTTTATCACGTAAAATGTGCCAAGGTCACCGGATTGTAGCCATCATTTTTGTTTTAATGGTGTCATTTGGGAGTTATGAGCCCCTAACTACAGATTTTCATTAAACAATGGCAAGGTTTCTGGCAAAAGGTAACAATATCCTTAAGCAGCTAAAACTTACCTAACTGGCGTCAGAGTTTGGATTAAACAGTGCCAAATATCGGGGCTGTTGTTTTAATTTTATGCTTTAAACAAATTTTCTGTTTCCCTACCCTTTCATGGGCTTAGGAAATTTAAAATTTATCAATTTATTACAGTCTGCTATTTAATTTATTTTCTGTACATTTTCAATATTAGGATGTTATGAAGTGTCTTATCAATATATATAATATTTTTTAAAGCATTAAAATACTAGTAGCTGAGTAAGTCAAATGTCTCTTCCAGGTGTATAGACATACATGCACTTATGCAATCAGTTGACAGTTTATTTGAAGATAAAGATATTTGTATAGAAAGAGAGGTTTATATGGGCAAACAAGAGGGGATAGATAAATAAATAAAGGTCTGAGAACCATGCCTCACTGACAAGTAATATTTCAGATATAAACCTGTAGAGCCTGAGTAGCTAATTTCTGATCCTCCCAGTAATGTGAGGAATTTATAAAACTTACTGATACAAACAACTCCGTCCCCTTCATATCCATGATTGCAAACACATTTGAATCCAAGATCTTCATTGCAGTGGTCACTGGGCCCTCTTTCACAATTGCCTGTATTAATACATGTGGCATTTGCCCCACACATCTCTGTAAATAAGATTTTGAAAATATAAATTGATAATATTGCTTCATTTTAATCATGATATGACTTGCTTTAACATAATATCACTTAATCACTTGAATTATGTAAGTATGTTATCAAACAGGAAGTCTTCTGATACCAGTATGTAGAAACAAGTTTGCTTCTTCATGGCAGATGCATTGCTTGTAGGGTTCAAAAGATGGTTATCTCATGTAGATCAGGTAGTTACCAAGCGTCAACAAATAAACCATTACACTGGTCATTATGTGTCCTTGGGTATTCTTTTAGCATAAATCGGACACCAACCATGGAATTGCAGATTGCGTTTTGCGCATTATATGGTAGAATAATAAAAGTTTTCATTACAATATGCCTTATTAATTTAGATATTTGCATATTCCAGGTCTAAAACATTACATAATTTTTATTACTTGACATTATTTAAGGTTATATCATATTCACACCATTTATTTTACTTTCAGTAAAAGCAATGTCACCATCCATATTTCAAGTACCATATATATCCCCATTATATATATATATATAGTGTAGTTTATTTTCATTTACTTTAAGGTGCGATATATTTCAGAAGTTGCTACCGAGCATCAACAAATATAATCTGCAAAACTGGTCATTGTGTGTCCTTTGGTTTTCTTCTTATGTAAATCTGACATGAACCATGCAATTGCAGATTGCGTTTTGCGCATTATATGGTAGAATTATAAAAGTTTTCATTACATTATGCCTTATTAATTTAGATATTTGCATATTCCAGGTGTAAAACATTACATAATTTTTATTACTTGACATTATTTAAGGTTATATCATATTCACACCATGTATGTTACTTTCAGTAAAAGCAGTGTCACCAGCCAAATTTTGAGTACATACATATGTTTGTCCTTTACTTATGCTTTATTAACAGAGCATAATGTTTTCCTTCAAAAATATATGTTGATAACAAAATAACATTGAATAAATCAATGTAATGTTTCATGCAATATATATATTGAACTGTTAGTTTGATTATTCTTAAAGGGAAAATAACTCTTCGTACGAGGTCTATATTTCACAATAAAAACATTGTGAATAACTCATAGAAATATAATGTATTCTATTTTACAGCAAAAACAGCAGTAATAGCTATTATTCTGATGTCTGAGCTTGTCTTCAGACCACGTGACCTACACTGATGGCTATACTATGTTATAATCTCTTAAGAGATTTTAACAAAAAAAATAATAAAAAATAAAACAATACCATACTTGTTTGTCCTTTAATTATGCTTTAAACAGAGCATAATATTTCCTTCAAAGATGTGTTGATAACAAAGTAACATTGAAAACATCAGTGTTACGTTTCAACTAATAAAAATATTGAAGTGTTAGTTTGATCTCTCCTAAACTACATGCCTAAGCATTTCATTACATAAACCCTTTAAATATATGCTTATTTACCCCTTTGGTACGTTCCAAGAGAGCTGGAGATAGTTGAGAATGCTTTACTGCCAAATAAAAAGAACCTGCAGGATTCCTTTGTATACCGAGCGAGACCCAGATGGCAGCTGTTTGTGTAATGAAATGGAAAGCTTGAGGCAAGTAATTCTGCGTCGGGGTAGTACATTTGTGACTGCCCAACTAGAAAAGCAGTCCCCTTTGCAGTCTGCTTGCAGTCTCCTTTACAGTCTCCCTATGGAGCCTGCCTTGCAGTCTCCCTGGAAGTCCCTGCTCCCATGGCAGTCTCTTTTGCGGGTATCCTTAAATATGGAGGGAGTCCCCTTGGCAGTCTTAATTTGCATTTTTGGAATGCGCTGCCAGGGGGACTGCAAGGGCAGTCCCTCCCCTAACGAAAAAGTCCTATAGGATCCTATAAGATCACAACCACAAACAGAATTCAAAGTGCTGGGTGAAAGATTAACACTTTCCAAGGCTCTATGGATCTTGGTGCATCAGTAAATTGTAGGAATATACAAAATTAAAAGACTTACATGCTCACTTCGTATCCTGTCTCTTTATCTCTTCATTTGTCTTTCTAATTTTCCAAAAAAATGTGTCCTTCTTCAATCCAGAAATCAATGTTTTCAGATTTCTTGCCTCTAAGCTTCCTAAGAATATTCCTGACATAGCTTCTGGCTTAGATTTTTGAAACAGCTCAACGGTTGCCCGCTTAATACTGTGCTATGTATAGTTATTTGACCTGATTGAGCAAGCTGTAGGCGAACTGTTTATATCAAGCTGACAGTTAAGATAAACATGCCCCTGGCTTGAAATGAATTTGGCCTATTGAAAGTTACCAGTTAATTTTAATCACAAGCCCAACTTAATTTGATGCTAACAAACCATTCTCCAACATTGGCACAACGTATTGTATGAGTTCAATGATAGAAGCATAATAGAATTATATTAACAAATGTTTTAAGCAACGTATTAACGGAAAAAAATTGTATTTCATAATTTTTTTTGGTGAAAAAGGAAAGCGTGTTCAGAATAGTAAAATTTAACATTAATAACAAGGCAGCACAGCTGTCAAATGTACTGACAAGAAACAGAAAATAAAGATGCAAAAAAGGTCATTTTGTCAATTTTGATGCAATAATAAATAATGCTGTCAATCAACACTGATTTTTAATCATGAACAACAGATAACATGGTCAATAACAGGAGCGAACAGGAGATATATTTTCTGACAGTATTCCACATTATCTTTGTTGATCCATCCTCCATTTTTTATGGTCTTCCAACAGAAAAAAATAGATACCCGTCAATATAAACATTAAAATCTGACCGTCTTCCAGAAGACCCAGAAGATGGTCTCAATCCGCCCCTGAAATAAGATTACAGTTTCAGGACCACGAGAGTTCAAATTCACATAATGTTTAAAGACATAAATACCAATAGAACTGCTTATGTGGTAATACAGAAGATGCGCAGAGGTTCAAATGGATGGGAGTTAAAAGTCACATCTTGAAAATGCCAGTGTTTGAAAAAAAAAAAAAATTCCAATAAAGCTGCTATTCAAACTTTCAATCTTGCTGTATTAACATGATATGAATAACCCCACTGAGTTTGAGGATAGATAAAGCTCTGTTATTCATCAATAGCATTAATGTTAGCATTACACAAAATAATTTTTTTTGAAAACTTATTTGCAATATTAAACAATATTTACCTGCATAAATATCACTGCTTCCTTATTATGGACACTTATCTTGCAGAGAACTTGACCTATGGGAGTTTACAGTATCAGCAAGTATGTTTTACGTTATCTCATTTAATGGCCTCTTGAATCTTAATTGACTTTATAGCTTTTAACTTATTCCCAAGGGAATATTACAAATGTGACCAGTAAAGGTCTTCAGGCCCATGAGTCACACCTTTAAAAGATGCAGAAAATAGGTCATTTTCTCAATTTTGATACAATATTAAATAATACTTATAACAGCACAACCAACACTTAAAGGGATAATAACTCTTTGTATGAGATCTACATTTGTATATTCTACAATAAGACATTGTAAAAAACTCATAGAAATATAATATATTCTGTTTTACCACAAAAATGGCAGTTATAACTATTATTCTGATATCTGAGCTTGACATTGCACCATGAGACCTCCACAGATGGATATACTCTGTTATAATCTCCTAAGAGATTATTACAAAAAAGAAAAAAACTTTTTAGAAAAAATTCACGGACTAACTTTGAATGTAGAAATTGATTCATTTACCATTTTTAATTATGGGAAAATTGTGGTTTACTCCAGGAAAATTCAATTTTTGGCCAAAACGAACAGTTATTATCCCTTTAAATTTTATCATTCACAACAGGTAACGTGGTGAAAAAAATTACATTTTCAGGACCATATGTGAGAGTTCAAATTCACATAATGAAAATCTCAATATGTGAAAAAGGATGACAGTGCATTAAATAATATTACATAATGTTTAAAGACATAAAAATAAATACAACTGCTCATGTGGAAATACGGAAAATGCACAGCACTTCTGGAGGATGGGACTTAGAAGACACATTTTGAAGATGCTAGTGTTTGAAAAATAATAAATTTTTTTTTTAAAGAAAACATAACAAAAAATTCCAATAAAGCTGCTATTCAAACTTTTAATCTAGCTGTATTAACATGATATGAATAACCCCACTGAGTTTGAGAAAAATAAGGTATTGTTATTCATCTATAGCATGTTGGCATAACACAATTTTTTTCTGTTGTAAATTTATTTGCAATATTAAACAACATTTACCTGCATAATTATCACCAAATCCTAATTATGTGACACAGTTAAGAAAGCTAAACCTATGGGACTTAACAGGGAAATCTCAACAGAGTGTTCTATGTAATCTCATTTAATGGCCAATTGAAAATTAATTACTAGGCAAGACTTTATTGACCTTAATTTAATTAGCGATCACCCAAGGGACAATTCCATAGACTGACATCCATACAGTATCATCATATAGCACTCTATAGAACTGCATTGCTTACAAAACAGAAAACAATCACACTGATTTTCCAACACAAGATGCACTTTTCAGTAAGTACCACAAGTAACATGGTTTTCCTTTGATGGTCATCAGTGTCCAAAAAAGTTTTTTTCCATTTTGATGCAATATTACATAATGCTTAACAGTATAATAACCATCAATTTTAAATAATATAATAAAAGTATCATGGATATTCAGAAAATGTGACATGAAAAGGTCTTCAAGGCCATGGAAGTTAAGAGTCACACCTTCAAAATGCCAAAATGTAAACAAGAGACAACTGTACTGAAATGATTTTCTTACCATTTTCAGCACCTTTTTTACATAAAACAAAATAATCAATTTACTGTCATTTTTAAATGATCAACTAAAAAAATTGTTGACATAGGAAAAATATCAGTAGAACAATTTTAAATGTCTAATTTGCTCCATTCAGAGATTCTGAACATAGTGAATGATTGAATCTGACAAACTGTAAAGATATGATTTTATTTCCATTTTTGACACTTTATTACACAATACACAATAACAGGTTTACCATCATTTTTATATAATCAACTAACAATATTGTAAAGATGCAGAAAATGTCAAAAGAACAACTTTACATATCTAATTAGTTACAAAATGAGACTGTTAATGTGCCTGAGGAAAAAACACTTATATACAAAAAAATGCATAACTTCACCAAAACTTAACAAATCAAGCTTATTTTCAAGACTTAATCTGTATTTTAGTAACACTGGTCACTCCTGCAAATTTCAAGACAATTGGCCCATCAATTTTCCTTAAAATGTGTAATAGGTGTTGCATATATGCTGAAAAAGTGAAAAAACAGCATAACTTCCCTAAAAATGACCTGATCGTGCTGATTTTTGAACTTGACCTGCCTATTATGAATATTCATCAATTCTGTAAGTTTCAAGCCAAAGGGTAAAACAGTTTTCCACTTATCATGTTTTCAGTGTTGCATATATGCTGAAAAAAGTGAAAAAGCAGCATAACTTCCCTAAAAATGGCCCGATAATGCTGATTTTCAAACTTGGCCTGCAGATTATGAATATTCATCAGTTCTGTAAGTTTCAAGCCAAAAGGTAAAATGGTTTTCCACTTATCGTGCTATCGGTGCTGCATATATGCTGAAAAAAAGTGAAAAAACAGCATAACTTCCCTAAAAGTGACCCGATCATGCTGATTTTCGAGCTTGACCTGCGTACTATAAATATTCATCAATTCTGTAAGTTTCAAACCAAAAGAGAAAACGGTTTTCCACTTATCACGTTATCGGTAAAAGTGCACGGCGACGACGACGATGACGACAGACGCAGGTGATGGCTATATGTACAGACACATCTGTGTCTGTACATAAAAATGGAAATTTATTCGATCTGAGTTACCGGCTTGGGCACGCGACTCGTAATACATGTCAATAGAAGTTTATAGCTCTTATCTAAAGTTAATCTCTTTATCTTATCTCCTTTAATTATAGTAAAGTCTCAATAAAGATACAAGTCTGTCACGCAAAGCTAGGTATAAAATCAGGCTGCGACCTGGCAATAAACGAGTTTTGATTTTTGTAACTAAACAGTGGCATTACTCTTCTCTCCGGGCATAACCCAAGTCGGGAATCGCGTACCGTACCTATAGGATCTTTCAACGGTGGATTAGAGCCCCTAGCGTCTAGATTATACCCGCGGTATATCTAAGAAGTTAGTACAGTATGCATGTTGTCTGGGTAAAAACTGTCCATGATATACAATTTTAGTCAGTTGCCGGTTTCGATATGAGAGCTATACAGGTATAGTGGTGTCAAGGTGTACACAATCCTCTGAAAATGTCAGTTATTTCAGTTTCGTTTGCAGTCTCCTGCAAAATGTTTAAGTTATTGCAGCCCCCTTTGCAGACTGCCTTCTCAAGGAGAAAGCACACTGGAGCCCCAGACTGCAAAAGAGCAGTCTCCCTGGCAGTCTCTATGGCAACCTGGGCTCCCATGGGCAGCGGGGTCTCCCGTTTTAGCTGGGTGGTATTGTTAACGTGGGGGCTGTAGCAATAGTCCAAAGGTTCAATAGTCCGAACGTTGATTGGTGCGAATGTTCACTACAAAACCTTTGGACCAACGATGCCTGTAAAGGGGTCACCACCCTAGTGGTTCAGGGGCTTATTAATTAGGCAGCCAAGTTCACAATAGTAAACCTGATCATTTATTATTATTATTATGACTTGCGAGTAACCTGGGGTGGAAATGATTTATAACATTGAATATTTTCATCACATGGGGTATATCCCCATTAGATATAGTGCAGTTCATTTTCATTTACTTACGGTTGAGAGATATTTCAAAAATTGTTGCTGTTGCAGCTGTTTTTATACAGCAGACATTTCTGCCACAGCTGATATGTGAAGACAGACATGTAATCAACAAAAGAAGATTATAAAATAGTTTATTTCACCCAATGAGGACTGCTGGCATTTTGTTGCGTTAAGCTGCACAAATTCAACTATGTGCAGCCGTGCCTGAAGTCTTAGGCATTGTAATTATGTAAAAACTGTGTACACAGAACTTGGATGAAAACTTAACAAACAAATATTTCAGATACAGAATCTCAGTACAGGAAGTGTCATCAACTCCTACACACAGGCTCACTTATATTATCTACTATTCCACCCCATCATTTCCATTATTTTAAATCACATATTTCCAACCATTTCTATTATCTGATGAATTCATAAAACTTACTTGTGCAGTTTATTCCATCTCCTGCATAACCAGAATTGCAAACACATTTGTAGCCATTTACATGTACTGCTGGACATTCCCGAGTATGCAATATTTTAGATGTGCCTGGATGAATACACAGGGCATTTGCTCCACATGTCACTGTAAATTAAGTTCCAAAAAGAAAAATGTAAGTTGATATAGTTTACTTTTAATCAACATCATTATATGACTTGATTATATAAAATATCACTTAATCATTTGGTCACTTGAAATGTGTTAGGTATGTCATCTGAATGAGGTCTGTAGAAAAACATTTTATTTCTGGTGGGTGCATTGCCTAGAATAAATGAATTCTATTTTGGACCAACGACCATTTTAATTTTAAGAATTTATGACTTTAAAAATTCAGTATCTGTCAAATTCACAATTTCCTCACTAAAAAGATAAACTCCTTTCCGTGTCATTACCAAACGCGTTCATCAACATTGAATAAATGGTACCACACATATACATGTTGTAAATGAAGCAGATCATGAGGGTCAAATGCAATTGCTATATTTATTTACTTAACTTCTGTCATTGTTAATTTTTTGCATTATAACCTGGAACGTTTTGCTTTTATGTACAGCCCTTATAATCTTACCTAAGTCACAATAGTCTCCATGAAAATTAGCAGTACACTTGCATGCCTGTTTGTAACTATGATGTATATTATCATATGACATTATGCAAGTGCCATTATTAAAGCAGGGGTATTCGCCAGGGTCACATTTGTCTGAAAAGGAATTTTGTAATACCAATTACATGTTATACATGCTATTTCAGTTTGCAAAGTTTATATTTATGAAATTTTATGATATTAGTTATTTTAATAATTTCTTCCAAGATGCCATTTATTTACAATTATTATGAATCCCAGTTTCATTTCTCGCATAAATTTCTCGCAGAAATATTTGCTGTTATCTACTGTCTTTATAATAAAAGGTCGGCATATCCAGAATTTAGCAGGCAAAGCTTACCATAATGGCAAATTATTCCATAATAACGTATGGGACAACTGCACTCGAAGTCTAATCCAAATTCAGATCCATATCCAGTGCGATTGCAAGACCCACCATTACGGCAAGGGTTAGGCTCACATGCGTCTGAATTATGATTAAACTAAAGAGTGAACTTTGCTTATGAAATGCCAGATATATAATTAAATGATGTTTATCTATATAAACGTAATTTTGTTGCTATTTATTTTTGTAATTTTTCTTGCACCATTTATATATACTGAACAAAAATATAAACGCACAAAACTAAAATGGTCGGTTGAAATGGATAATCATGAAATATGCCCAGCTTGATGGTTTATTTGTGAACTGATGGATTTGTTTGGATTAAGTATAGTGGTCTGGTTTTACTTGGCCGCTCCCAGTGAGTATACTCAAAGGTTCAGTTTTTACACCCATAAGACTAATGGAGCATCACAGAGTGGAGGTCAATCTGCAAGACCAATACACAGACACTCTCTACCGTCTAGGCAATAAAAGGGCACACCAAAATGTGTATTTCTGTCACTTGTCAACATGCCACAGATGTCTGGAACTGTGCAATCAGCATGTTCAGTGCTGGCTGGTCAGTATCAGAAGTTGCAGCATGCCTGAATGTGCATCATTCCACTGCCAGTCGTCTGGGAACACGCTTCAGAGACACTGGTAGCATTAGGAACCACCCTCATGCACCATGTCGCCCATCAAACACCTGTGGAATGTTCTGGATCAGAGTTTTCAGCCATCATGTTCCAGCTCTCGAGAATGTTTGCAAACTGCAAGTAGCACTCCAGGAGGAATGGGATAATATCCATCAGGCCTCTATTGACAACTAAGTGATGTCCATGCGCCGCTGGTGTACTGCTCTGCACAAATTTAATGGTGTCTGTGAACTCAGGATGTTGACCCCCATGGTGTATTTGATGCCATAACTCTTGGACTTTGCATTTAAACTTCCCCTAATGCTCTCAAAGTGATGTCTGTTCGTCGAGAAAAATATGCTGTTATTTTTGGCTATATATTCTAGTTCCATATATGAAAATAAATCTACATATTCTTTCGTGTGTTTATATTTTTGTTCAGTATATATATATATATATATATATATATATATATATATATATATATATATATATATACTGAACATATATATATATATCATAGCAAGGCATCAGTAGGCCTAAAATGATCTTAATCTTACTTTCAGATCACAAATGATTTACATGATCTTAGTCCAGGGGCGAAATCCAGGATAATTTGAAGGGGGGTCCGCGGATACAAAGCCACCCTCATCCCAGTTGGTGTGGGCCCGGGTTCAGGGGCTGTTGAAGGGCCCCGAAAATTTTTGGTATTTTAAAGGGTGAATGGTGCCATTGGGTATGGTTTAGTACTATAAATCAGCTTATAAAAATCTAATTCTAACGGAGGAGGAATATTATTATGATTAGTTTCATTTTTTTCAGGAACCGAACGGGGTGTCAGGACCCCCCTGACCCCCACCTCTACATCCGTAGAAATGATCTTACCTTGGACTGACTCTGCTTTTAAAATCAAACATTACCTCAACCTTCACAAAAACTAAGTAGCCTCCCGGGCCCTCACTCTGGGGGATACCTCCCCTTCACAATGGGGGAATGTGTGCGGGGAGACATTTATCCAATTATAGTCCAATAATAGATTTACTCATTTGTTAAGAAGATGTAAAATAATAAGTGTTCTGAAATTGCAGTTAAATTGCAGATAAACACCATTTGAAGCGCACTAGTGAGAGTGAGACTCACAACTGGCTGAAAAGAAATTTACTATTTAACCAATTACATACTTAACATTTCATTCAGTTTACAATTTAGCTACATCTTACATATAGGAAATTTAAGTATTAATATTAATCTAAAACATCCTCTTATATGTGTTTTGATGTCCACACTGTCACCATTCTTATAGTTCATCAGATTAATTTAAATTTACTTCACTTTCACAGTAAAACCTTTTTTTTACATTTGATATATCATTCATCATATTTCCTCTCCAACTCCCCTGAGCAAAAAACAGAATTAAACAAAACCAAAACTAATATAATTAATTACATTATCAATATGTTTTCCTGATGAGTAATGCAGTATAGACCTTTTATCCGTCAGTTTGGCCCCTTTATTTACATGTTCGGCAGAACAGTCCGTCAATCTACGTATATATATATATATATATATATATATATATATATATATATATATATATATATGTATTCTCTGTCAGTTTTGTCCATCTACTTAATTAATGAGTCTCTCTCTCTCTCTCTCTCTCTCTCTCTCTATATATATATATATATATATATATATATACTCTTTCAGCCTGCCCTTTTACTTACCTGATGAGACAGTGTGGCGGACCAAGACACAACCCATCAAAACCAGAAGAAGCCGCCAGAACAACAATCCCATCACTGATTGGCTGATTTTACACTTAGTGCTTTATACTTCTATGCTGGAATGAAACAAAATATGAACAGTTTGCTTATCTTTCTTCTGCAATATTTTACATCCTCAAGAAAATAAAGATGCAGAAAATATGTCATTTTGTCAATTTTGATACAATAATAAATAATGCAGTCAATCAACACTGAATTTTAATCATGCACAGGTGGCATGGTCAATAAAAGGAGCGGATCCAGATATATTTTCCTACAGAGTTCCAAATTATCTATGTTGATCCATCCTCCATTTTTGATGGTCTTCCTACAGAAAAAATAGAAACCCGTCAATGTAAACTTTAAAATCTGACCGTCTTTCAGAAGACCCAGAATATGGTCTCAATCCGCCTCTGCAATAAGATTACAGTTTCAGGACCATGAGAGTTCAAATTCAAATAAAGAATCCCAATATTTGAAAAATGATGACAGTGCATAAATAAATATAACATAATGTTTAAAGATATAAATACCAATACAACTGCTTTTGTGGAAATACAGAAAATGTGCAGAGCTTCAGGTGGATGGGAGTTAAAAGTCACATCTTAAAAATGCCAGTGTTTGACAAAAAATTAAAAAGAAAACATAACAAAAATATTCGAATAAAGCTGCTAATCAAACTTTTACTTACTGTATTAACATGAATAACCCCATTGAGTTTGAGGATAATAATTCATCTATGACAATGATAATTTTTTGGAAAGCTTATTCGCAATATTAAACAACATTTACCTGCATAATTATCACTGCTTACTTATTATGAACACTTATTTGGCAAAGAATTTAACCTATGGGAGTTTACAGGGCAATACAAGTGGTGTTTTATGTAATCTCATTTCATGGCCACATGTATCTTAATTGAAGGCAAGTGACTTAATAGCCCTGAACTTAGCTAATGATTACCCAAGGAAAAATGACAGACTGACCACCCAAATGTGACTAGCAAAGGCCTTCAGGCCCATAAGTGACACTTTAAAAAGAGGAGAAAATAATAATACACAAAATAGGAGACTGTCAATTCTCATGCAATAATTCATTATGCTTAACTGCACAGTCAATATCAAATTTTGATTATGCACAACAGGTGATACCAATGAAAGTAAAAACACAAGGCTTCAGACCCATGAGAGTTGAAGTTCACACTTAGAAAATGCCAGAATGAGAAAAATGAAAATTTCACAAATAATGCATAAAATTAATAAAAATGATAATCCAATAGAGCTGGTTTTCTAATTTGACCTGAGTATTATAAATATTCAACAGTTCTGTAAGTTTCAAGCCAAAAAGTAAAACGGTTTTTCACTTGTTATTGGTATTGCATACACGTATATGCTGAAAAAAGTGAAAAAATAGCATAACTGCCATAAAAATAGCCCGATCATGCTTATTTTCGAACTTGACCTGCGTATTATGAATATCCATCAGTTATGTATGTTTCAAGCCAAAAGGTAAATTGGTTTTCCAATAATCCTGTTATCAGTGAAAGTGCACTGCAACGATGGCGACGGTGACGACAGACTCAGCTGAAAAAAGTAATATGATACTGTCCATCAAATAACAATATAATATGGAATACTGACAAAATTAATTTAACTTGTATAAATCAAAACCAGGAATATATGAGAGGAATCAATATGAATACTTGCGGTTTTGCCTATCATCGAAGATAGTATAAAATCAAACACGATTGTGCATGATTTTGAGAAGATTGGCGTCAGATATAATGGTAGACCTGTCAGAACAGAGCTACAATTGAGTGGAAATTACTGACTGACTTTATTGAACCAATTTTTATGCATAAACAAAAATCTAGTTGGCTAGTTAATGGTATAGGGGAAGACGGAGGCAGTGGCAGATTTAAGGTTGTGGGGTCAAGGTCGTCCTCACTCCTTCAATTTCTTTAAAAAAATCACACCAATGGTCCTCCTTGGAAAATTAGAATTTTGACTAGCAGAATCATAGTTGTTAACTGCACCAAACGGCACCGTTCAAATGGCAAAGTTCTAAAATACCAAATTTTGGGGGCCCTTAAGAGGGTCCCCGAAACCCCACACCAAGAAAAAAACATTTTATTTATTCATTTTTATCCCCACACTTTTGAGACGAAATCCTGATATCAAGTAATCCCGCCCATTCATCGACCATTACAGTTATGAAGTTGAAACTTGAGTGATTGGTAGACCTGGCATCAGGGCTATACATGGGCACTGTAAAATTTTAATGAACCTAGTTGTCCCTGGAGGGAGGTTAATTCTAATCTTTTCTCACAATGTGTTACCTGCAATCTCCTCCTAGACCATTAGAGTGAGGTAGTTGACAAACATACACTCTTGCCCAAAATGGTTGGTACACGGAAATTTTGGAATGCATTTTGCTCAATTTCTTTCATTGTTATTGTTATTACCAAAATTATGCCCTTTACATTGCTAAATATGTGAAGCTGGAGGATAAGCAAAGTGAAAGAGAAACAAAAAATGCAAATCTAAGATAAGCATTTATTTATTAAGGGTTTTTTCCTCATGCCCCCCGAAATGTGTATTTTTTATACAACAGGTACAAGTGAAAAATTAAACATAAATTTGTACTGTGATTGCCAATTAATATGAAATTTGGGGAGATTGTAATGAAAACCCTTCAGACTTCATTATTAATCTCAGTAGCGGGAATACTTCACCGCGAGCTTGGATTATGGCCGCCAGACGGCGTGGCATACTGTGAACTAGAGTTACAGCAGTTTGGAGAGGAATTCTGGTCCATTCAACTTGAAGGGCATCTCGAAGTTGATCTAAATTTGCAGCGGAAGTTCCACTTGTGCTGAATTGGGTATGCATCTGCGCTGCTTGCTGGCTGTGGCTTTAGCTGAATGTTGTTTTGGTGGATATAGTCGTTAATTTAGCGGGCTGTATGGGGAGTTGCATTGTCATGTTGCAATCTAAAATTGTCTCTATATATCCCTCTTGCGAATGGCTCCAAGTTCTGTTAGAGAATGCCCCTGTATCTTGCAGCGTTAAGGTTTTCATTCAAAGAAGCAATGGGCAAGTGCCGTTGCTGCAAATGGCACCCCAAACATGTACAGAAACAACTCGTCCAGCTTATGTTTCTTGGATATTTTCAGTCAACACCCATTCTCCAACGAGTCTGTACATTCTCATTCTTCCATCTCTTTGATACAGTAGAAAACGGGACTCATCAGCAAGCACCATGCGATTCCAATGTTGGACCATAAGGTTACGGTTCTGCCGCGTCCACTGCAGCCTGTTTGCTCGATGTGCAGGTGCCGATAGTGGCTTCTTCAACATTCTTCTTGAAGGATAGGGGTGTTCCAACAGCCTGCGGTTTACCGTCTGGCGAGACAATCGAGCCAAATGTTGGGCCTGTTGCTCCAAGGCAATGGCTTTGGCAGTTTTGGCCCGCTCTCTTAGGTGCGCTACATGTATATACTGACGAAATTCGTGATCGTCCCGATCATAAGAACATCTCTCCTGAGGAAGCTTCCCCCGAGAGCTTATCATATTTTGTTATTCATTATTTCATTTCTCTTTGCTGATTTATCCCTAAAAGTTGTATTTGATCTATCAAATCCAGTCCAATTCACAGTAGTCTCAAAAACCATTTTAAATTAATACAGATTGCTTGGAAGCGATATCAAAGTCTATATTTAAAACATGACCATTATTTCCATAAAATTGCAATTAATTATAATGAATAAGACTTGGTCAATTCCATGCTGTTTGATTATTAAAAGTTTGGCCGCGGCCTTGAATAATGCAACTCTGGTTGCAGCAACATAACCGTCTAGCATTTAACTTGTCGCTTGTACTATAGAAATTGTTAATCACAGTTGCGCTTACAATCTGGATTTTATAGGATACGTTTTAAGGTGTCTTCAGAGTAAAAATCATTTCACTGAAATCATGATACACAGTCAGTGTATTTTCAATTTTTATTTTTTCAATTAATAAGGTGTATTTTAAAATAAAGATTCCTTAGACGATCGCGATTTAGACTGCGGCAGTTTAAATAGATCGTAATGTTTATTACACTGATGGACGTAGTGCTTATGCATTGAATCAGCGTGTGCAGTGGTGCAACCAATCTTCAATTAATAAGGGAGTTGGAAGAACCAGCGGGTGACCGTTAAACGTTCTAATATTTAATCAACACTGAGCGGAGAACAAACAAAAAAAGATAAAGATGTGTCACTCTATGCGCTGTTGGCCGGGGAAATTTCAACAAAGCCCGACTAACAACAATGTACGTCACGGCCACCTTCAATATTTCATCCAGCTAAAAGACGAAAACAAAAATACTTTAATACCAATGTTGACTGGAGATGCATTAGAACATTTTTTTTTATTTTATGAATAAGTATTGCCCCACAACTGATCGTAGTACATCCCGCGATACGATTTCGCTCGATAGACCCTGTCTAGAACCATTAGTAAACCATTAGTTTTAAACTAGCTGTCATAAAAAACCTTGCTTGAAAAACTGAATAACTATAAGACCATTGTTATTTTGCAAGTTTAAGCAGCGATAAATATGTTGATATATAGCAAACATTATCAGTATGATGTGCTGTAATACGTATATAACAGGAGTACTTTTCTATTGATGATGATATCTTGCTCACAGTGGGTGACGAAGAGAGGGGGGTGGTTAAACCACGTAAGTGAAGAATCACTGCACATTAAACGTGCATCGTGTGTCACTTTTACACGGTTTCTGCTAATGAAAATGTATCATATCGCAATATACTGATTTCTTCATAGAAATTCATTTTTCACATGAAGATAAGTAAATCGCCGCAAGTCAAAAACGGCTATTTTGTTTTTAAGTTCTGGGATTTGACAGAGAAGGACAGGCCTGCTTTAGATGACAGCCGGATTCGGTTGTATTTGTATGGGGATTGCTACCAGTAATTAACACAGTTTTCACATGAAGTACCATTGAAACAAGGTGGTCGAGAGATAACTCATGAGCAGAGGTCAGTATAACAAGCAGCATGGTGGC